CTCTCTCTCTCTCTCTCTCTCTCTCTCTCTCTCTCTCTCTCTCTCTCTCTCGCTCTCTCTTTTTCAACGCCCTTTGTATAAACCAAAACGTGTGTTGAGGTTAATTAATAATGGTTTTGTTTTTCTCAATGTTCATGGTTCCATTAAGGATTCTGGTGCCATTCAAAAATTGATACTTTGTAATAAAACCATGCGATAATTAACATATTATTAATTGACGCCAAAGAATGGCATCAATCCCGTTTATTGTAATAAATATGATTTATGTATCTCCTCGTTGTTTGTTTCGGCGCTGACATGCGTATCGCTTCTTTCATTTTGGATGCTTCATATTTGGCTTCGTTTTCAACTTGCAGTCAGAGTTGTTTTCGACACTTTTACGTAGAGAGTAGGGAAAGTTTGAATCGGGTTTTATTTTATTTGAGGGAGGTGTAAGAAACTCAAGAGCCTATCTGTGTTTACAAAGCCCTTACATACGCAAAATAGGTTATTCTATGATTTTCATGCATAAACTTTTCAGAAAAGAAGCATAATTTTTTGTTCATAGAACTGAATTATAATAATGTGTATGCACGAATGAGCCTGCTTCAAATGAGTACGGATTTTTGTTCGTTTGATTGGTTTGATCGTTTGATAGTACATCCTTGCAATAGTTTACATGTTTGATAAGGTATTCACTCGTGAATGAGAGAAGAAGGAAAGAGAGATGAAGTGCGAATTTAGAATTGGTAATAATGTGTAAAAGTGTATTGTCGTATTGGATAATCTAATGTACTTACTGCCGATATTACTTGAAAAGACTGTCCATATTATATTATGTTTGCGTGTACATGAAATTGTCCGATCAATGTAAGATAAAGTGAGAGAGAAAGAAAGAAAGAGGAAAGAAAGAGAGACGGAAAATAGAAAGAAAGAATGGAAAACTGAAAAAAAGGAAAAGAAAGAAAGAACGGAAAGAAGAAAAAAGAAAGAAAGAAAAGGAGTGGAGATATGAAAATGAAATGAATTGTCTGAGACAGAGAAGATTGGTTGTTAAAGGAATATTTTTAAAAGCAGGAGAATAGCTTCTCAACTGAGCGGACAAGCATAGTTTTATATATTACTTTTCAAAATGAATGTATACCCTTCCTGTACAGTTGCATAATACGTTCGATTGGCTGAGACTGACCTTGCACGTTAGCAATATAATCACGTCTACCAAATTTATGGGGAAAGAACGTATACAAATAAGAGCATTTCTCATTACAGCACGATGAAATATAATAATATATGGATTTCAGCAGTAGTGCATTCTTTCTGGGTTAAGTTTGTCAAAAAATTGTGTTTCTGTATCCCAAACATTAATTTTACTCACGATCCCCATAGTGCTGGTAAGAGAAAGATGTATGTGAACTAAGAGAGTTTGACTTTGACCCAATTTCAGATATACGGTCTTTTCCCATAGTCTGGCAGAATATGTGGTCGACACTGTTATCGTTTCCATTTAACTACGTGTACTTCACCCTCTAGTGTCCAAATAATGTGATCTCCGAGAAATCTAATTTGGTAGTTCAGCATTTTATTTTATTAGATATTTCGCTGGAATGCATTTTGAAATGAA